ATCAAGAATGGCTACTGCTTTCTTCTTTTCGATCACATCTTCCACGAGAACGTGCTCTGTTAAGTAGAAAATGAAACGATGCAGCTCTTTTTTTGTCAAACCGGGTTTTCACGCATGCGTTTCCACGTAGGCTGACTCAAACCACTGTACATCTTAGTGTATGCCTCACGCCTGTGAGTGTATTGTCTGTGTGGGGTGATATTTCTGACTTCAGTACTTCTAGTGAGCATTGAAAAGCCGTTGCCAACTGTCGAGTATTTCGCTGTACTAGGTGGCCTCTGCGAAGGAAGCTCGTTCATAAAACCCGTTCAAGCTAGTTCCATGCTGATAGCCTCAGTAGAATCTCGAACCAACTGAGCTCGCATCTCGTCAGCTAAGAGACGGTCATTAAGAATGCTTTTATTCCTGAGTCTGCGAACGGCAGGGATTTTCCCTTAAAGCCAGTCAACGAGAGCAGGTACCTATCTCTGCTAATTTGTGATAGCATGGAACTCTAAAAAGGACAACCATGCACTTTTTAAGTTAGTTGTTTTCGCGCTTCTAGTTTGTCTCAATCAAGGACGAGTCGAGGCCACAATGTTGCAGCCCTGTTTGATTATTTTATTTCTTTACCCTAACCCTGTTATCAGCCACATCGCTTTCGTGCATTTGCGCTCGTAGCCTCGATCCAATAGATACCCTTTTGTGGGATCGTAGCCATTCTGTCTCTCTGCCAAATAGATTAAAGTTGTGCTAACTGTACAATAACTGATCCCTCGATTGTTTTCGGGGTTGGTTAGCCTTGCAAGACAACACAGTATGCTCAACACGGACCCGTGTCTGTTTTTCCCCTAGCATTATGGATATGTGAAACTACACAGAGGACAGGGCTACTGCATTAAAAACGATAAGTCCATTTTTCCATAGCAAAAGTACAAACTGTCTTTTTCTTTAACATTCATTGATAACCCACCAAGTCACCCAACGGTGCTTGTAAAGCAAAACATCTTAACCCGTATAAAGTTATCGTTCCTTGGACTATTCTGACACTTATTTCAGGCATCCTGACTGCACATCAGCACGCTCCTTTTCCACCCAAATGATGCTTCTCCGCAAAGGCGCTTTGTGTCGGGCCTTTAGAGAGACTGATTCCAATGGGCTTTGTGTTAACAGGTTGAAATTGGCCATCCACATTTTCACTAACAGCACATGAGTGCCACATATTTGGTTTCCTTTCCATTCAACCTAGGCTCTCTTTTGAGTGCCCTATACAACACACAGCGCAACTAATGCTTGCACTACCACATTAGCTAGTGATTTACATGTCAAGACGAATAATGTCATCAATAGTGCCTGCGAGCGGTTGACTTGCATTAGTAGAATGCCGTGTCTTGATGATAAATCCTACGACAAATCCAAGTAGATCATATCAACTGTCTCTGTAGCGTCAGCTGACTCGGTTCGACTACGCTATGCGATTAATAAATTCGTTGTGCATGATTGCTGTCGACGAAAGCCTTGTTGCTCGGGAGCGCTAATGTTACCATTTTCTAGATAACACCCAAACGCATCGGCAACGATAGATTCCATGACCTTGGACAATACAGGAAGAAGAGGCACTGGGTGGTAATTTGAGAGCTCAGTCCTGCTTCAGCCTTTGTGAATCGGAGTTATTATTTCAAACTTCCACACTGCAGGAATCTGGTTCTGGTCTAAGCAGCGCTGAAAGATCTGGGCTAAGAGTTTTGCCAGTTGTCCTGCGGCTGCTCCCAGTCCGTTTGGGCGAATGATGTCGACCCCCGGTGAGCTGTGGTTGCGCAGGAAAGTCAGCTTCGGCGGTGCAAGTGATGTCTGTGAGTCCTGGATCGTCTCAGCTCCCTGGTTGGGGACGGAATGACTGAACACGTTTGGCTGGATACACTCGCTGACATGCCTAGGAGCCGGCCTCATTGGCATTCGTGCTGCGAGTTTTTTTGTCTCTTCCCATCCCTATTATCCTCCCCTCCAAATACGATCTCATTTCTTAGCATAATATAATTTTACATGATAATTATTCGTTGCATACTAGCCGGCTGATAGCTTTCCGGAACGACGATGCCCTGCCATTATTGGTAGGTCAGCCGGCATGCATATGTTGCATGTTTTTTCTTCTTTTTTCTTTCATGTATTGTGGCACAGTAGCTGTGTTTTCCATCTCTAGCTAACATGTATGATGATGATAATGATGAGTCCTGGAGGCGGGAAAACAAAAGCTGGTAGATGACCTGCTGGTAAGACCCCCTGAAATATGGGAGCATATTACGTCCGCAACGCATTCCTGCTTCTATGGCTGTCTATTTAGAGCATCAGTCGTCCGGAGAGGAGGAATTCCCTGCCTCACCTTAGAACGTCCATTGACATACTTTTACAGCAGTTTTTGCTTAGCGATGAAAGTTTTCGCCATATTCTGCTGCTATGCGACTTGGTAATCGCTGAGCTGTTGAGTGCAGTGGTTACGATGGGCTACATAGTTGTCCCAATTATCTGGCGTGGGTGATGGTCTGTACTCTCGCCAGGCTGCGTTGCGTATAGTCGTTCATTTTCTAGTTCTGCTCCTCAGGAAAGAAACGGTTTTAGACCTGTTTAAAACCCTAACCTCTGAAGCATCCGTAACCAGTTGATTGCATTTTCTGACGAATTCGAGCCATACGACTTCCGGGTGATCTACAGCGAGGAACGTCCAGGTTGTGGCCCTGACGAGCTGGGCTAAGCGGTTGTAGAGCGTAATGGTACGCACCATCTCAGGCTTCTAGTTGCGACATTCCGCATAGCAGATGAAGTCGAAACTGATGACTGCATGACCCCTACAACCAAAAGGCAGTTGACAGCCAGTACATCAATCATATCTTCCTCGTTGGTGGACACAAGATCCAACAAAGATGCTCTATTACCTGTTCTGAAACGAGTAGGCATAATGACGTGACTGGTTATGAGCTCGTGCAGATCTACTTCGCATTGTTCTCCGATCGTAGCAGGGGTTTCTAAACAGTATACATTGAAATGCCCTATGATAAGGATGTAAGTGTGCTTTCGCTTTAGACTGCATCTTAAAGCTGTCGCAAGGTGGTAGTCCATTTCGAATGTAGAGTTTGGGGGCGATACACCAAAGGTATAAGGCAGGTGTCTGCCATGTACTTGCAGGCGGCACCAAAGAGAATCGGCGAAATGTAGGTCCGAATTCTCAGTGTCATCGCACTGTAGGTCGCCTCGGTAATAAAGAATTACCCCTCCTCCTTTCGTAAGTCTGTCGTTACGTAAGAGTGACTTCCCGGCAGCGAGACTTCAGTGTCTGTCATTCCACTGCGCAACCATGTCTCCGTGACACCGATGACATCGCATGCATTCGAAATTTGGCGATCTTTCAGCTCAGGCAGCTTATTTTAAAGGCGTTGAGCATCGGTATAAAAGCAGGATAATTTCTCGGTCTCTAGGAGCCCCCAGGGAGTCAAGTGTAGTAGAATGCCGACCGCTGTGAGGTCGTTCGTTATCTGTATTTTTGATAAGATGATGATGACACGTTGTCTGTAGGCTGATTTGGCCAACATATGTTCCATTTCCCGTCTGGACATGCTGCAGAATCGCGTGACCGATCGGTAATGTAATGCTTCTGCGTAATCGCTGGTAGGTTTGTTGTTTTAGGTAGGCTCATATCTGGTCTTTGCAAGAATTCAGCAGCTTTTAACCAAAGTTCAGATGAAAGGCTTTTCCGATGTCGCCGCCAACCTTCTAACACTTCCGTTACGGTCTACTCTGAGTCAACCATGAGTTTTAGGATTCTTGGTCCGCTTTCTCCATAATTTGGTGAGAGAGGTAGCCTTTTGAGTGATCGCGCCACAACGTTGTCCAAGGAGTGTATTACATGAGCAAACCACCAATGCTCCAAGTCGGGGTTAGGGGCCGCAAGACTATCTTGAGAAGGAAGTTCTGGCACGCCATAAATAAAGTTTGTGCTTAGACAATCCAGCTTGCTGTGTCCTTTCGAGATGTTTCTTTTCGATTGACACATGCTCCAAGGGACCTCATGATAGATGCGTACTTTACAAGGCCCGTGTTGTAGCGCACTTGCAGAGGGTAAAACGTTTTCTGCATCAATGATGGATTCCAGTGTTACTCCAATTGATCTCGGATCACAATAGTGTGCAGGGTTCGGGTGACAAGTAACTCACTGGGTTTATGGGTTTGGCTTTTACGTTCATCAAAATGCACAGTGACTTCCTCCGGTCTTGGTCGTCTGACAACTTATCCGCAATGTGCTGGTGATAGATTCGGGGACATTTGTGCACACGACAGTCAGTATGCTATGGTTGAATCCCTCTCTTGTTGATCTGCAAAGTCGGATGATCGTTGGCCCTGGCTTTATGCCAAGTGATGCTGATCTACTGTTTGTCGCTCTATTCACGTTAGTGTTGTTTGCAAGAGGAGGCCCAAGATGTAGCATCCCGAGGGACTTTTGCAACAGTCTCTGCATATGTGACTGAATTCTCGTGGAATTTGAACTCGACCAGAGACCCTTGGGTTTCAGATGCAGTAGGCTCGGATTCGGCTATCACATCCTTGTTAATGATACAACTTGTCGAGGCCGGCTATTTGATCGATCACGCGTTTCGGTTGGTGCGTGATTTTCATGGTCCTGAATACTGTATGACTATCAGAGCCACGACCTATTTTCGCCTTGCGTTCTTCCAAAATTAAAGAAGATAAATGCAATTAAGTGCCTTCTCAATCGTGGTTCGAGCGAAGTAAATTTTGCACCGTTTATTCTCTTAGGAGCCGCTATGTTGTCTTGGTGCATACACGATTCCAGTGACATACTCTTATCTTTCATTCGGTGTTCAACTTCTTCTGCGAACTTCCCGCACTTTTATACTAGCAGAAGTATGCATTCGATGATAAGATGGTCGACTACGCAATACGAAACCAGAGCTTGTCTTGGGTGCTGTTTCGATTACTCATGTGTTGTTGGGAAAGATTTGCACACTTTGGACGGTACCATTTAAAACGGTGCGAGCAGTGTAAACCAAATTTGACTAATCAGTTGCATTCTGTGGACCCACCTTTACCCTTCGAACGGAGCCCTTTTGGATTCGCATCTACTTACTTTTCGCTACTCGACATAACGTTTTTACTTGACATTGCGTACTTTTCCGACTAGTTGGTTGCGTACCCTAGTCAGGTAGATGGATGCTACACTTCACTTCTTGGTCACAGTCTATGGTGACGCTTAGGTCCAACGGTTTGCAATTAACGAATGCTACCTTGCTACGAAATGGGCATAATCCTAACCATCATACGGAGCATTTGTGCTATCTCAGGATGGGTGTGGAAATATTAGCACGAAGCGATACATTTTCGGTGGAGCACATCGCATATCACCTTATGTGCCGTTCTCTATAGATGCATAGAGGATAGAACAGTCCATGAAACCTTTCAGCGCTCTTATTCATCCTGAAAGAACCGCTGAAAATATCATTATAATTTGTCATTCTTATCAACCACAATTGACGCGACTATGTGCTAATGCTGCGTAGATAATTGTTGAACTTACGTAAAGCACTTCTATGAACTTTTGTCGTGTGACCAGCTTGTCTCCAGTTGGGTCGAATGGCCGAAGCATATCTGCCAATGTGTGCCCTGTTATTCTTCCCATCTTCTGAAGCAACTGTTTTGTACTCGGGTATTTGTTTGCGAAGCCAGCTTCTTTGCAGAGTGGGACGGATCCTCCGGCTCGAACAACCAAGTTGGGCAGTTTCATTCGTGCCGCATCTTGCAGATCACGAAAATCCTTATTCACTATAATTCCCTGAAGCATAAAGATTGCACTGCTATTCAATGCACAGTAAAAAAAAGTTCAGTCAACTTGTGGTGTTGCTCCACCGTCACAGCTGCGATGAGTATATGTGTACTCTGCGATAAAGTACCAACTGGACAAATAATGACACTTCAGCCAGCGAAATGCTGCTTTAGATTAGGCGTAAAGACTGGCAGTAGACGCATTTTTCACTCTATTTGTTGCTACCGTCGTCATAAGTTCAGCAAATGATATAGCTGGCTCACAACGCACATAGTTCTGGGTCCTAGTTGACAAAATCGGCCAGTGGTTTGTTTATGAATACGGTATTAATTAGATGAAACACATCTGCGATGAATTGTAAGGAATTATCTGGACCAACTCATCATGTACTGACTATATTATAAAGCACCGTTCGCGCGAAAAGGCTTCAGCAAGCCACCTCCTCTGAGAACTTTGACGTGAACCTCGGTCATTAGAACGGTGTGCCAAGAATGCACACAACTCGTAAGGTGCAACAGCTTCCTGTCTTGTATTCCATGACCGAAATCGTGGTGTTTCGCATTCTCTCAACTCACTTAGCCGGCTACCAGTGAAAACTAGTGATGTGGTGTTTAAAGTGCCTGCTGCGTACCTCTGTTCTCAGTCTGACTCACACTACTTGAAAAATACCGATTAGAACACACCTGTGATAGCATGCGAAGCTGCACGCCAGTGGCATTCCACGTGCACACATGGCACACTTTTTAGGACGAAGTAAAAGTGTCTAATAGGCTATGTAATAACAAATGTCTTTCCTAGCTTTTCATTTTTATTTAGCTACTTAGTAAACTGTCGGTCAAACAATACACATTACACTTGATGAAAATTCTTGGGTATTCCTTTCAGTTCCATGAACAATTTAAGCCCTATCTTGGTCAGTGTGCATTTTCTCATTTAATGGAAGATCATTAATATTGAAAAATTTTCAAAACTTGCCAACAAATTGAAACCGTAAAATTAAGTAATGTAGCATCATGGTTTATACAGAGCAAGAGAGAAGAATGATTCCGTTGGAGAGAAGTAAATTTAGTCATTTTAACTTCTTCAAATTCCGGATTTCCCTGTTGTGTTCAATTCAACGACTGGCCTTCATCCAGCTTTTACCTGAGAATAATGGTGGTCTAATCGAAACGGCTTGGTCTGGTCTCAACCGGTAAATGACCCAGAGCAGAACATGTAAAGATTTCGAATCATTCTTGCCGATGCCAAATGATTACATGATAGCCTGCGTCGAAACAACTAGACCTATTCTCCTATGTTGCATACATCATAGTTGGTCAGCTGATCTACACGGAACGAGAAAGAGAACGAGAGAACGAATTTGAGACAGTCTAGACTAACACACAGTCAAATTGTCCACCGTTGGCCGGGCTAAACTACGGCCAAATGTTGGAACCGAAATAAGGACAAAACTGCACACGTCGCTAATGGAGACACTGTGTTCTGTGTGCGGTCTAGACACTTGTCGGTACTCGTGTAAATGCAACAACATATTCACAACATATTTACAGATCAAGGATGCGAGCTAAGGTATGCACCACATAGTGAATGTGAACGGCAGTATTTACCTATCCTTGTGCGTCGAAGATATCTTCAGAGTGGGTAATTTACAGCCTTAGGATATTCGCACGGCTGCAGTTTGAAAAGCTCGATTGTGAGAAATTTGCGGTTTTGCAAGCTACATTTCCTGAGCTCAGATAGATGGTAGTAATGACTAAAATTTCGCTTGTCTGTATCTGATGTTCTCTCAGTACCATGTTTAGCAACGTAGAATCATGTCGACAAATGCTATAGAAGTTGAAGTAATGGATTCTTGCGCACCCAAATCGTGTTGAGAGATACATGTGCCGTATACAATCCGGCTGCTTAGTAGTATTTCGCACTTGCACGAAAGGGCAATGACATTTGTCACAAATGACACCAGGATTCAAGCGATGATCTGTTATCGTGACACTTGATCATCCTGTCCACCGTATTGGCTCAGTGAAACAGTCAACCGGATAGTCAATTTTTTCGACGGGCAGCGGTTACAGACACTGGGTGAGCACTGAGAAGACGTCCAGGATGACAAAGCAGACCAGGAAAATATATTCGAACCGGTGACCTTATGATTGCAAGCCAGGTGTGCAGATCATTCGACCACCAGGCTTCCTGGTCTCTTTTCAGGTTAGCAAGCAGTTTCGCGCTGAAATCTTTGCGAGTCTCCTTTTGTTCGCTATCAGCCGGAACAGGTGGACAAGCATCTATAAGTTCCTGAGACTGCGTAGTGACCCAATGTCCAGATTGGTGATATGATTTGCCACATTAAGACATGCCCGCTGCTAACAAAGTCTGCCGGATTTTCGGCCAGTGATGTTCAATTGCGTTCGACGAGCGCTTATTCAGCTCGGATGCCAACGTCTTCAAGTAGTGCACGAAAAGTGTGTCTGTAAATTTTGAACACGAGTATTTTAACAATTCAAATAGCTGCATTCACGATAGCACTCTAAAATTGAAGCTGTTATTGTTTTTATGTGAAACGAAATATTTAATGACAATTTCAACTGTGGGCTTTATAACTGCGAGAGCGGCAGCAATCGTACGTCCGCCACGGACAGCAAACATAGTTGCTACGCCACTGTATCCACGCCAACTACACCCCCATTTGTTTACGCACGCTATTGGATCAAATGAGCGATCTTCCGAACGATCAAGACAGTATCCAAGTCGTACTGGACGTCTATTCGGGCCTTTCTGGCACGCAAATTAAATTGGGCTTGCTATAGGAATGGGCTTCTACATCTAAAGTACAGCTTCCGAACCGACTGATGTAGGTTCCGAACTTGACAGACCAACTTCCAATCGGGTAACGAATTAACGCGCCAGTGCACTCAAATACAGCAGACAGACATGGCACAGAGACGATTTCCATTAGACAAGCGATTCATTCGTTCAGCTTCAATGACGACATCTTGTCTGGCAATGGACGCGTTTGCGAGCTCGCATCTGCGCATCTATCAGTTCCTCTCACTCTTGGAAAAGGCTGACATCACGTGCGTAGTAATTTCCTTTTCACTACTATTCAACTATCCACGCTGATATCCCATACTGTGATATATCTGACTGTTGCTTCACCCGGCAAGCTCACTTGATCCTACAATGCGCTTTCCAAACATCCTAGTTTTCCGAACAAAGAAACTGTATCTACATTATCTCCGACTGATCATGAAAGAGTACGGCGCAGCGAATACCAACACGAAAAGGACCATAAGTTGAACATATCACTGGGGCATGACTCATTGGAAGCCGGTCCCGTGTCACTCCCTTGCACTAGGCATCAGATATCGCTTCAACCCCCGTACGAACATAAACACGTATGTGTACACGTATTTTGAAACCACTGAATACTCACACGTCCCTACGCGCTGCCAGTGAGGTGCTATACAACCAGATACGCAAAAATAAGCCAGCAACCTAGTCAAAACATGTCGGACGTGAGGGGGACGCATACAAGCCCGTTGCACCGCCGAAGTGCATGCCTCTAAAGTTCATTCACAAGTCTCACCTAGTCAGCGGGCAGCGCACTCACCTCCCCCAGACTAGCGCACCGAACCTTAGCACCTGGCCAATGAGAAAATACCTAAGGTCAGAGGATTGGCTCTGAGCGACTGGCGAATCGCACAGTGTTTTGCAAATTTTTGGACTTTCTTTGCAAAATTTTGTGCATTCTTTGCAAAATTTTGGACCTTTCATGCAACTTTTCGGGAAATGTTCTAGCTTGAAATCATAGGCTTATTACTAGATAATATCAGCAGTTTGTTCAATGAATCCAGTGTCATATGTATCTGACGCCGATTGTGAATTCCTAATTCCCCGATATAAGTGATGCTGTGAATTCTTGATTCATAGATGTAACTTTGCTACTGTTTAGTTAGATTTAGGATATTATTACTTCTCATTTGTAACCACGATGATCGATCATGTTACCTCTCTTGATCACATAAAATCTGTTTTAACTGCTGAACTGCCTATTTTACGTTTCTATTTTATTTTCTTATATGACATCTGATTATGTACTGACAACAATGTGCAAAGCTTGGAGTTCCGAACACTATTTTAATCGCCACTCATTAGATAATTTACTGAGGACAGACTGCTCTAGTCGAACGCTTGGAATTATATAGGCACCGAATTACGAGTCCGTTCTCCTATGCTCAAATTATACGTTTCTTTTTTACTTATAATCATTTATGTAGAACCACGGTTGCTTTGGTACTATACGTGCTACCCACCGCCCTTCACGCGTATAGCGTAGATCGTGGTTTAGATAGGTGTTGTCAAACCGCCGTTAAACAGCCATTTCTGCAGTAACCCATCAAGTAACTAATACGGTTAACTATCGTAACAATTCTAAATCTCATGATTGTCAAAACACTAGAAACTGAAAACACCTCATTGTCCCATTCAAGCTAGCAATTTATGTTTTGCCTTTGTTTGCTAAAAGGTGTTAATTATTAGAAAAAGCCCTTGAATTCTAATGACAACAAGCACAATCGCTACTTTACTCGGATACACGTTTAAAGGTTCGGGGAACATTTGTGAGGTTAACTGAAAGCGAAAGTATAGTTTATGTGAATAAACTCTGCGAATCTGTAGCCGGCACATAGCGAGGTCAATGCCAAAGAAATGATAGTACTATCTCAGTTAACAAGGACTGCCACGTCTAACACTATGCAAGACAGCACAAATCAAACGGTGTCGACCCTGAACACAATTCAAACAGTATCCTCTCCTTTGTCCCCGGGATTTCTGAAGTTTGAGTCGCTCCATAAGTAGATTCCCGAAGTCACGATTGCAAGTCTTTTGACTGTTGTTCTTCACACAATCCATCACTTGATGACATTCTCAGTGCGACGGCTCAGCGCGGAAATAACTGGAGGAGTGGTTGACAATTTCCGTGAATAGAAAATTCATCCACCTCATCGGCAAAA